CAAAGTAGTTTCGCTTTCACAATGAAACACACAGTGCCTTCACGACATGGCGCCGGCGGCAACAACAATACTACAGCGAGAATAAAAGTTACGCCTTCTTTCTTATATGTATATGTATATATCTTATATGTATATGTATATATCTTATGTATATACAGTATACAAACATTCAGTACTATTCAATATTCAGCACAATACTATTCTTGCAGAACATACAGTAGGCCTATAAATGTATTCACCTTACTCAGTTGCAATTACTATGCTTTTTTACAGAATTGCAAAATTGTTTACTCAATGCAATATACTTTTTCTGTAATGTTCTGGATGCTGTGTTCTCCATTTTTATCTGTAGTGTCTAATGAATGCTCTGTAGTGTTTATTTTATTGACTCCTAGTGAGAATTTGGTTCAGAGATTGGGGTTTAGTGTTTTAGCAATTCAGAAAAACTGTAATTAACCAACCCGATCTCATGAAAGTGCATATAAATAGTACGCCAAATAAAAACGAAAATTCGTGGTATTGATACGCAAAAATGGACTTTGGCGTGTATATGCTACGCGATGGGTAGGTTTAGGGTTGTGGGGTAGATGCTTATCATATGTACGCGAGAACTGCGTATCATATGTACGCCAACAAATTACGTATCATATGCACGTGAAAACGGCGTATTATATGCACGCCAAACACATGCGTATCATATGCACACCAAAGTCCATTTTTGCGTATCAATACCACGAGTTTTCATTTTTATTTGGCGTACTATTTATACACATTTTCATGAGACCGGGCTCAATTAACTACATGTACTTACTATATGGTTAGTTAGGTTTAGGATTAGGGTTTGGTTTAGGGTTATTTGCATGCAATTGTGCGTAATTGATTGTTATTATATTACAAGAACACCTTAAAATAAAATGTTACCTTTTTTCTTAGTAACTGTAACAGATTACAGTTACATTTATTCTGTAATTAAATGACAAAATCCCCAACACTGCTGACAAATGTTTAGTTAGTATAGTTTACACACACGAGAGTTCTAGTAACTAAAAAAAGAACTGTAGGGGGTACTTGATCCTTTACTTTAGATTTACTCTTGACTTAGTATAGATACTCACTGACTCCCAGAGTGCATTGAATAAATTATGCAACTGCTTTGTTTTATTGTTGTTACTTTTGATTTGCCCGTTTTATTTGTCTTTTGTCAGTAGTAGCACAATAAAAAGAGCAAATAAAATGGTTATTGTTACAGTTAATAAAAATAAATACAATTTAATTGTTACCATTGCTGTGATTCGCATGCTAAATGTTGAAGTCTGTGTGTGACTCGAGCATATACAAATATTAAAAGATTATATCAACCCAATTAAAAGCTTCTCAAGGTGTTTATGATAAACAATGAAAATGTAAAAGATAATTAATAAACATAAAAAATACACTAGCGAATGATTTAATTAGAAGATATATCACCTTCTAAAAGCAAGCTATTTATTACTTTTCTTTCCTTGAAATCAAATAACTCTGATTTCATGATGCATTGCTACATGAAAAATTATAATAATAATAATATAAACGAAGTTCCAAGTGCCCAACCAAAGTGAACACTGATCACTATAATGGTGAGTAAATTTTTTTTTTAGGAAAATCAACATCAATTTATGAAGTCAGCTAATGTGATGTTCTCTCGAATATTTCAGTTGTATTGAAAATGCAATATTCAAGATGACTTTGGGAAACGAGTGAATGCAACTAGTGAAAGATAACTGCAGACATGGAGGAAATGAGTGAAAAGTCTATTAAGAATTAACCCACCTCAAAAACTCTTTTTCTTTTCTTCTTCTTATGTTATTGTTGCACATTAGCAACATATTAGTGCACTGCTGCCTCTCACTGGTTTATTAATGTCATTGGTTCCTTTGTGGCTACTTGAATATTTTAAGTAAGCGTCACTCAAAGCAGAAAGTAAATAATTTGATTTGCCTTGAAATTAACTGTAACTTAATAAAACCCAGTAAGTATAACAACTAAGTAAAGATAACCAATTATATCTAATTAAGGTAAACTATTGAATTTAACAGTGCTGTAAAACAATGCAATGCGGTTTTTACCTAAATTAAGGTAAAACTCCTGTAAAACATCAATACGCAAAAAATCCTTAACATTAATACAGTAAATTGTGCCCTGTTTGTAACTGATTTTTTTTACAGTGTAGATAGACGGATAGATATGCAAGGTAATACTACTGTGTGGGTGAAAAGGGACTAAAGTGTGTGTGTGTGTGTGTGTGTGTGTGTGTGTGTGTGTGTGTAATGTAGGAGGGGGAGATAAAGTGAAGCTCTGTCAGCTCAGTGTCAGAGTGTGACACTTCTCTGAGACAGAAATGTCTTTCCTCGGTCTCTTAACTTCTAGAAACTTACTTAGTCACCCTTTCCACTCTGCCCTCACAGGTAAGAGTATATCTTTCTCTTAGCATTTAGCTTTCTCACTTGTCTGTGTTCTACTAATGTAGCTTGACAAAATTAACAAGGAACCTCAAACAAATGATCAGACTCTATATCTTCCCTCCCTCTTCAAGTAATCATATCCACAAACATTACAGTTTAGCAGCTAGACCTTCATAAACACACACGAATATCAACATGTGCCAGCCAGGGGTAACCTAATAGTTTGTGGTCATATTTTTTTATTTTAAACAAACTGTACATCAAAAACATTTTGCTCTCATTTCTCAGTCCGCATCTGTTAACCCTTAAAAAGGTCATCAAATCAATATTTACTGTCTGTTTCACAGTTAATGTTCTTCTAATTCCAAGTGTTTATGGAAGCAGCACTTTCTGAGACATTAATGAACATGTAATACTGTACTGAGGCTGCTGCCGCGTTAATGTTATCTTTCAAATATTACTCATATCAGTTTAACGTTTTTGAGTTCACTGAGTTACATGATACCGCTCTCGTCAAGTCTATTTGTTGGTAATTCAGGCTTGATTCAGAAAATCTGAGGGATTCATTCTGAACAGACTACTAGTAACTAGACTACTGCTGACCAAATAAAGTGTTGCTTGAAGGATTTACGCTCCACACAGGACTTTTGATATTTTAATCCTTGCGACTTTTGAGTCTCTAATTTTAGTAAAGGGACTTAGTGTGACCATAACACTGCCATGTAAGCTACTGTATATTTATAGTACATAAGTGTGTATATGTGTGAATTCTTGACTGGTTGCTATTCTGCTTTAAACATGCTAAATCTGGAGTTTTGACCATAAATTATATACATAATTAGTTCATGAGCCCCATATACATATGCATTCACATATAATCATTGCACTCTCAAATAATAATGTTGTTTTATTGACAGGTGGGCTTCTTTTTCTTTGTCTACTTGTCAATATGACCATTATCGCCAGTCCCACTCCAACTCCCCTGTCCATCCTCATCACGTCCACAGCAGAACCTTTATCTTCTCTGCCTGCTGAGGGGGCCTCATATTTACAACAGCCTCCAAAGGCAAAAGCTGTGGAAGGGGAGGATGTGGTGTTGCCCTGTTTTTTAAAGAGTGATGTGGATGAAGTGCAGGCTGTGGAGAAGGTGAAGTGGTATGTGCAGAGTTTGGAGGGAAGGAAGAATGTTCTACAAGGCAACGAGACGGCGGAGGATGAGTTTGCTGGCCGTGTGTTTTTGTCTGGTGATCTGTCTGAGGGCGATCTATCCATGACACTAAGGAATATTTCGGTGGAGGATCAAGGCCTGTATTTGTGTGCCTTCATATCAACACGCTCGACTGTTCTTCAGGGAGGCGGGACCAAACTCAGCATCCGCAAAGGGCTGGGTGAGAAAGGATGGGGGGTGCAAAGATATTAGTGTAAAAAACTTTATCTTTTAATCGGTCTATGGCCTATAAACCTCAAGGAAGAGCTTACCAATCTTTTCAGTACAGTTCAAAGCAGGGTTACTACAGTTAATTAAAACTAAAACAACTAAACTAAAACAAAAAAAAGAACAAATAAAAAGAACAAAGATGTCATTACTTGAAATAACATAAAAGTTGACTGAAAAAAAAAATATATATATATATTTTTTTTTTTTTTTGCATGCACATATGTTTTCAGAATTGCAAGTCTTTTAATAGTATCATAACAACATATGATAGATGTTGTTTATATATATATAAAGTAACTCTATTTTACTTAAGCTAGTTGCCAAGGCAGCATTTCTCATTTTTGTGTGCTAAAATAACTTAAAACTGAAATAAAATGTATGAAAACTATACTGTATAGACATACTTAAAAAAATAAAAAATTACAAAAGCACACAACAAAATTACTCAACTTTATAATCAAAATGAAATGGAAAATATAAAAAATGAAAATATTAATAAAAACTACAATAATACTAAAATAACCATGTTTCAAAGAAGAAAATATAGTAAAGAAGCAGAGCTAGGACTAGAGATTCACCAATATTAAAATTATGGCCAGTGCCTATAATCTGTTATGGCCAATAAAATGAAAATAATAAAATTAAATTAGCATGATTAAAGATTTACTAACTGAGCACTATAGGTAACTGCAAAAGCAGTCTGAATAAATGTGAAATCTGAAGTATTTTGTTAGGGAGCCCATTACATTCATGTGAGACAATGAAAGATGACAGTGAGATTCTAGCTTTTCTTCACATCCGCTCAGGTGTGATTGAAGAGTCGGTGGGCACTATAATTGGCATCGTTGTGGCAGTTGTTGGCGTGGCAGTGGGGCTGGTTGCTGTGATATTGACTCAGTTCAAGGACAAACTGAACTGCCTGCAGAAATGAGACGCGAGCGACAGCTTTGGAGCTTGGAGGTTAAAAGTGTGGTGAGGCTACGGTAAAGGCTAAAGGTAAAAGTGTACAAACACACATACGCTCATGCTGCCAAGAACTGACCGCAGTGCATGAGAGAATGACTTAACTGAACGGTGAGGCATTTAGCTCACCCCATATTCTGAATTATAATATATACGATTACATAGACAAATAGATCCGGTGACCCTCCTCGAACACATACCCACCCCATCAGATCTAACAATGATGAAAAAGAGCAGCTGAGTTATGAACTGAGCTCTGTCAATGTTCAAAACCATCCCATGCAAAATGATATTTGCATACTTGCTTTTGCTTTTTATTGATCTATATGCATGCACATATGTTTTCAGAATTGCAAGTCTTTTAATAGTATCATAACAACATATGATAGATGTTGTTTAGTAGACACTGATGTAAGTCCTTTGCATACCTCAGGTGGAGCAGATGGACTGTTGAGTGGATAGAATGTTTACCAGAGGCCATTATGAAGTTATATCAATCAGAAACTGATCTTGTATCAGCACTCAACACAGAATACATTTCCTCTCAAGAGAGGCCTGATCTCAACACCCGTGCTGTGCTTCAGTATTCTGTTTTGATTAAAGAATCTAATTGCAAAGTTCTTCATTTTCACCTGCATGCCTTTTGTAAGACCCAGCAGGGCCTTCGCTTCAGAAATAGCCGGTTGTGAACTGGTTTGTGATTGTGTGATTTCGTCCCGTGGGCTTAGGTTTGTTTTCTGTGAAAATCACCATCTCTCCTTCTGACACAAATAAACAAGTTTTATTATTCAAAGTGTCTCTGGTGACTTCCCGGTCTCATGTAACTACACAAGTAAGTAACCACAGCTTGAAAAACATCCACAAGGCCAGGCCAGCACAAGCCTGTCTCTGAGGAAAGCAAAATAAATAAAGTCACAGGTGGATTCCAAATATTGTGGATATGTAAAGATTTTCAAATTGGAAACATCTACAATACCATTCGAAAGTTAAAGAAATTCATATTTTTTTATTCTGCAAGAACACATTAAATTTATTAAAAGTAACATATATATTGTTATTTATTTTCAAGTAACATTTCTGAAAAGACTTGCATAGCTTTATATATATATATATATATATATATATATATATATATATATATATACTATAACAAAGGACCAGCATAAACCAGCATCCCAGCGTCAAAACATACCTAACCAGCATATGCTGTTTTTATTCAACAGGGTACCAAATCAGCATATTAAAATGTTTTCTGACAGATCATGTGACACTGAAGACTGGAGAAAAATGTACTCTTTAAAAAGACTGGAGTAAAAAATTTACTTTATCATCACAAGGAAAAATATTAAAATAGAAAAGTTATTTTAAATTGTAATAATATTTTGCAATTTTATTGTTTTACTGTAATTTTTGATCAAATAAATGCAGCCTTGGTGAGCATTAACACTTAAAAAAAAACTTTCCGACCCCAAACTTTCGAGAGTGAGAGGAGAACTACTCATGGGTGTCACTAGGCCATTTTTAGGGGGGCTATAGCCCCTAAAATTGTGCGATTAGCTCCATAAACTGTACACAAATTCGTGATCGCCTCAGTCATCTGAAAACGGCGGCAGACTTCGATCGGCTCCTCTCCGTCTTTCAGCGCGTTCTTTTTCAATGTGCAGAGCGAGAAACAGAGGACAAGGTGTGTGTTTAACAATAGATTGTTATAATATCTGCATCTATGCAGTTCTTAGTCATAAATCCAGTTTACAAAATATCATGGGGGAACCATAATCAGTTCCCCATCTACTGTAGCCCAAGTTTTCACTGCGTTCACCCCTCATCACACCACAGCTGTTTCCTCCAGCAGAAATGAAGCACATATGAACACATACTTTATAAAACGATCATGTTGCCATTTTCATTTGAAACTTTAACTTTCCATATAATACATATTCCAGTGCATGTGGCAAAGAGGTTAGCATACTTGAGCTAAGGAAAGAGGGTTGTACTAGAAACGCAAACAGTAAAATTTTGTGTTTGTACAGTAAAACAGGTTGTGTGTGAGATCATGAAGACTTGAATTTGGCTTTTTCAGTACTCAAATGTTATACCTATCTATGCAATACGGTGGAATACTGCAATAAGTTTAGTATATGACCCCTATTAATCAAACATTTTTTATTTATATATATATATATCTCTCATTAGGCTATTATTATTATTATTATACCCTCACTGGGGGCTGAGCCCCCCTAAAATGAAAATCCTAGAATCATCCCTGGAACTACTAGAATGAAAATCAAATCATCTATTTTTGTTATAAAGCAGAGTCATTCAAACAGTTTCCAATAGTTTAATTCTTTGGAACTGAACACACAACACCACACACAATAAATGTAGTAATGTACCCCTACAGAAGCCACAATACTCTACCCACACACCCATGCACACTCACTCACTCACTCACATGAATATGAGAAACGATCAAAGAAACACGCTTGGAGCAGAAATCACATTAATGAGACAAAACAAGATTCAAATAAATAAGGGAAGCCTCAATGATTCCTTTCTGACTTCCATTGTTCCCATTATTATATAACACATTTCTATTGGTCACAGAGAAAAAAAACTGAGATGGGAATAAACACTGTGCTCCCCTGCACTTTCCCACACGCAGCGAGGACTCGTGGGAAAGCAGGTGGTGAGAAAAAGAGAAGATGAATGTTTGCTGTTTTTGTGCTTCAAGTGTTGAGTCTCAGCACAGAGAGATCACGGAGGCATTTGCTTAAATGCTAAAATACAATCTTATACTTCAAACACCAAGCAACAGTTGTAGTTATAGAGTGAGAACACACTCTTTTTACATTTCTAAAGACCGTGTTCAGATTAGCGATGGCTACTAGCTCTGACTTTCATTCGTCTTGTTCAGTTTCAGTGTATATTCAGACGAGAGGTACACATGCACAAGGGAGCACTGGGAAATGCACTGCACAGCACGGGGGAGGAGACAGCTGGGACACGTGTGAGGTCAAAGGTTGCTTTTAGTCCTCGAGAGTGCGGAAAGAATTCTGCATGTCTTCCAGCAGTTGAGCGTAGTCAGCTTTGATCTTTGCTTCACCCTCTTTGACTGGATCCTGCCAAACACATAGACGCATGCAGTTATGGAAAACTGCTCAACGTTAGCCATAAAATGAATGTAAATAATCTAATTATTTAAAGAAACTTACAATAAATATTAAAATGAACATGTATAAATAAATTACATTATTAACACATTTTTCAGTCAATATTTCATGTCTTGCATTACAGGTAACAAGTAAATATGACCTGTACTACATTAAACAACAGTCCAGTTACCATTAATGTTTTAATGTTGATCATCTTCTATATTGTTTGGTCAAAGAGGTTCACGGCAATAATAATGAATTGCAATATTTTATTTTTAAGGACATTTTAATACCTCTTTTTTTATAACTCCCGTTTCATTTGTAATACCAGATTTTATACTTCTGTATATATTCAAACAATTTTCAACATTTCACAAATAATTTTATGTCCTTTTTGGTTGAAAACAGGATCAGGATGGGACACAACAGACTCAACCCCACATCCTCATTATATGATACTATCAGAATCAGAAAGAGCTTTATTGTCAAGTATGTTTGTTTTGTTTATTGGTTTTGGTGACAGAAGCTTCCAATAATAAAAAAAATTAAGTGTGAATAAAATACACATATGTAAGCTGGTATATACACTATGTAGTATTATAATATTTATTACTCATTGAATTAGGTTCTATTTTTATATTTTCCGTTTTTATGTTAATTTTAGTAATTTTTTATTATTTGTTTTATTACCATTTTTATTTTAAATTTTAATTTTAGTTATTTTGTACTTCAGCGTAAACTTATTTCATTTGGTTGCCAACACAGCACTCTTTTTAAGTTAAAAGTTTTAATTTAATATTTGTGTTTTATTTTATTTCAGCTTTTGCAACCTATGGTCTACGATCTTTACAGCTACAAAAATCCCAACATCAATATTTGAACAACGGTACCTTAAACTTCATGGAGCTGATGCGATAAAGAATTTCTCCCATGTGCTCACGGATCTGGGCCCAGGTGATCTTGTTATCGCTCTGCGCTGTGGTCTCGACAGCATGCCGGGCCAGGTCATAAAAAGCTATCATATTGGACAGGATCCCCACTGTCTTATAGAAGGGACAGAACCTGGAAGAGAGAGACAGGGAGATAATGTGAGAAAGAATTAGCAGACTGACAAACAGGCAACTAGAATAAGACGACACCTAAAAAGAGGTCTGTGGGAATGCCACATTCTTCATATTGCACAGATGATTAGTTTACCTGTCATAGGGAGTGTAACCGTTCTGCTGCAGGAAGTCATCTTTAATGAGTTTGGCCACCTCCAGAGTGATTTTATCGGTCTCAGCCAGGGAGGCCTGAGGGCAAAAAAACAAAATAAATGCATTCAGAATCAACAAATATACATTAAATAAATTATCAATACAAATACCAAATACCACACAAAAACGCTTTTTTAATAACACTATTTGACAAACAACATACACAAACACACCTTTCCAACAAGTTGCACAATCTCAGCCAGGTCCTCCTCCTCCTGCAGAATCTCTTTAGCTTTGGTACGCAGCGGCACGAACTCTGGGAAGTGTTTGTCATAGTACTCATCCAGCGCTCGTGTATATTTACTGTAACTGATCAACCAGTTAACAGAAGGGAAGTGTTTCCTCTGGGCAAGCTTCTTATCTAGACCCCAGAACACCTGAGAGCAACAGTTCAAATGAGGGGGGGTGGGGATAATGGAAGATTCTATTACTGCTTCATTTAAAAGAGTTAAATGACTGCTTAAAAAAATAAACATCACATCATGTTAATGACAAGCATTCATAGGAGTCACCCACCTGCACAATACCAAGAGTGGCAGAAGTCACAGGATCTGAGAAGTCACCACCAGGGGGAGACACACTGTAGAGAAATGAACAGAAACATCTGCAGTTAGAAACCACCACAAAAATGCATGCAATATTTTTAGAAACACACATAACATTCACACAATAATAAATCAGAGTTTGTACAAACGTACATATCAATTTGCATATTTATTAATAAGCCGCTTGATGTTATTTGAGTGTACTTACGCTCCCACAATGCTGACGCTGCCCTCTCTCTCTGGGTTACCTAGGCACTTTACTCGACCTGCTCTCTCATAGAATGATGCCAGACGGGCTCCAAGGTATGCGGGATACCCACTGTCTGTAGAAGGAAAACAAGAAAGTTTGATTATCCAATACAAGAAAGTTTGGTTTGGACAAGGCTGCACAATCTAGTCAAAACACCAAGTTGTGAATGTGGTGAAAATGCAGTTAAACATGTGGCATCTCATTTCGCTTCTGTTTGGGTAGGTATTAAAAAAAACTGCATTGTAACCACAACTGCAGTGTATATGACAACAAAATAGCAACAATACCTCAATTTGGAGGAAGTTTGAGATGTGTTTTACACACATTTTGCTGCCAATACAATGCATAATTTAAAGGGTTAGTTCGCCCATAAATTACACACCTTTAAGTCATCCTAGGTGTATAGGACTTTCTTATTTCAGATGAATCCAGTCGGAGTTATATTAAAAATTGTCTTTGATCTTTCAAGCTGTTTAATGCCACTCAGCGGGTGTTGCATGCATCAGTCCAAAAGAAGTTAAATAAAAAGAAGCCCATCCATAAAAATAAAGTGTCTCGCACGGATGACGTATGAGGTCAGTGTTGTGCATGCACCATGCGCAGCACTGA